TTCTTCACTTTTCTCTTTACGCTTTCAAAATCATTAGACGAACCTCTGCTAAGATTACTCCAAAGTAAGAACACTCTCTTCAAACCTCTTTTTCGACCTTTCCTCTTCACTTTCAAAGGTCAGAATCTTCTTTTCTTCTACGTTTTAAAGAAATGTGTTTAATCTTATTAAGAACTTTGTTCTCTTAATACATTAAACTGTAAAGATTTTTAATCATCTCTTTCTTGATTAAAAAAATATGTTTCTTTATACACATTCTACTTGAAAAACCCTAATTTTTTAAGGATTTTTCAAATGAAGTCTTTCCTTGTTTAAAAACTTTTTCTATACTCTTTGACCATATATTCTTGGTATATTTCTAACCCTCCTTTTTCCTGTTTATGTTATTTTTTTTAACAATGCAGATGGCTGCCAAGAACGTCAACTTCACCATTGATGAGATCTCTATCAAGGCCAACAACCACATTGCCTTGCTAGAGATACCCTCCACCAGAGCTTTTTACCAAGAGGCAGCGGACTTCCTCAAACAGTCGTCCCTTGGATATGCTCTCAACCATGAGCCTCTCATGGTTAAGGAACTTCTCCAGCAGTTCTGGTACACTGCTGAGGTGGTCGAGGTCCAAGACGAAGCTGGACGCACTATGGAGCAAATCCACTTCACGTTCAACCGCATGGAAGTAAACTTTGGGGTTTCTACACTCCGATCAGCTCTTCGTCTTCCCAGGGGTCCCTTCGACAGCAAACCCTCCACCACCGAGATCATTTCTTTCCTCGACGCCATTGGCAACCAGTGGCCAATGAAGAAGGACTCCAGCGCTCCTCTCAAATCCCTCACAAAGATTGAGAAAAACAGGATGTCAGCCGTCTGACAATATCTGTTTTCTCATTTCATCCAGTGCATGGGTGGAAAAACTGGCGRTCAGGACCAGGCCTCCAGGATTGCATTCATCATAGGCGTCTCTGCGATTCAGCGTCGCAATATAAATTATGTTGCGGTCATTTTCGATGACCTGGTGCTAAAGCTGAACAAGCACCAGCGAGAAAAGGTGGTGCCTTACACCAGGTTTCTTTCTATGGTATTGACTAAGATCTTCAAAAGTCTTTACCCCAAAGAAGGAAACCTTCCAGTTTTTAGGCTTGGATCCAGGATTCTGGATCATAAGCTGAGGGACAGTGATGTGGCACTCTCTTCCATTATGTCCATCACTACCTCTTCTCAGGTGGTCACGAAAAGGGCAAACCCTCCCGAGTCTAGCCAAGCCACCAAAACCCCTTCAAAATGACCATCTCAACCAACTCTTGGTTCTCCTCAGAAAGCCAAGAATGCCAAAAAGGGGACAGCCACGTCACTAGCTGGGGCCTCTCAACAGGCTTCAGTTATTGAAACTAGCCTTACCCCGAGGCGCCTTCTGTTATCCCTCCTAGATCTTCAGTGATTTCTCCCATCACTGTCGTATCAATGGTACCTTCACCAATCACTTCAGTGACCCAAATCACTGAAAGTGTAGATATCAGCGCCGCCACCGCTGAACACCCACGTCTTTTCTCAACCATTTTCTCTTCTCCTCCCTCCTTGGTCTTTACACATGTCGATGATGTATCAGCGACTGTCCTTCCTGATACTGAGACACGCACCACTGGACCTGAGGCTGCTTCTTTCGATGCTCCTCAGTGTGGAGGAAGAACCCTATTAGACAACCCGCCCCTTCTCTTTTCTTTTTCACAAATAAGAAGTTTCGTATTCAATTCGGATATTAGAGGGATTACCATATATAACACAAAATTTCTCCGCCTATTCTTTCTAGTYGAGCCTCTCGGTCTGTCATTATACCCCGAGAGGTAGAAAGAATTACAACCCCCATCCCACCTAAAATTCTAGGAATTCTTTGATAGTTAGAATAGATTCGTAGACCCGGCCGACTGATCCATTTAAAATTTAAAAGATTTTTGTAAGGCCTTTTCCTATTCCTTCTATGTCGTAGGGTAAAACCAAAAAATATTTGTTGTTTTCTCGATGYTTTCTCACGTTTTCGATAAAACCCTCTCGTAAAAGTATTTTAACAATACTTTGGCTGATATTAGTAGATGCTACTCGAACCACGCTTTTTCTATACATATCGGCATTTCGTATAGAGGTTATTATTTCAGCAATAGTATCACTACCCATGATTAATTAAAATTATTGGTGCCTCCAAATTTGGATATAATCAACATGTTTTTCTTTCTTTTTTTACGTATTTGTTTATGAATATTAATTTTGAAAGGTATATACGTGAGACAAAATCTACTAAATTAATCTTAATCTATTTTTTTAAATGCTCTAATATCGTGGTCTCATTTTATAATACCTCATAAGCTAATGAAACTAGTTTAGTAAAATTGAACTATCTCAATTCTCGGGCAATCGCACCAAAAACTCGAGTTTCTTTTGGATTTCCTTCTTGATCAATCACAACTGCAGCATTGTCATCATATTGTATTATCATATTCTTGTCAACTTTAAGTTCTTTACAAGTACGGACAATTACAGCTCTGACCACTTCTGATCTTTCTAGAGGCATGTTTGGGACTGCGTCTTTGATCACADCAACAATAACGTCACCAATAAGAGCATATCAACGATTGATAGCTCCTATGATTCGAATACACATCAATTCTCGATCCCCGCTGTTATCTGCTACATTTAAATGGGTCTGAGGTTGAATCATATCATTTTTTTTTATCTGTTTTTTACAATACAAAGGTCGAATAAAAAAAGAAATATATCTAAAAAAGAAACCTGCACCCGCTATTTTTTTTTTACCCAAGGCTTATTTCTTTTTTATCCCGAAATGATGAATTGAGCTCGTATAGGCATTTTGGACGCTGCTATTGAAATATCCCTTCTAGCTATATTTTATGTTACTCCACCCATTTCATAAAGGATTCGACCTGGTTTAACAACAGCTACTCAATATTCGAGAGAGCCTTTACCTGAACCCATACGTGTTTCTGCGGGTCTTACTGTAACTGGTTTATCTGGAAATATACGGACCCATATTTTTCCACCACGACGTGCATTTCGTGTCATTGCTCGTCGACCTGCTTCTATTTGTCTAGATGTGATCCAAGCGAGTTCAAGTGCCTAAAGAGCGTATTTATCAAAACAAATATGATTACCTTGATAAGATATTTCCTTCATTCTTCCTCTATGTTGTTTACGGAATCTGGTTCTTTTGGGGTTATAGTTGATGGTTTGTTTTGAATTCCGTCTCTACTACAGAACCAGGCGTAAGAGTTTCTTCTCATCCAGCTCCTCGCRAATAAAATGAATTCAAATTAAAGATTTTGAATTCAGATATAATTTGAATTAAGATACACATGTATTTGATAAATAACATACTGAATCATAGATTTAATTTAATCTAGATCAAATCTATTATTAATTTGTATATCTTGTTTGTATAGATAACTAAATATATTAAATAACTATTTTTTTCTTATATTTATATATATGGTTTTTAGAATGTTAAAATGAATCTTTCTTTTATTTTACACATTTTATCGTATTGGATTCACTCAAATTTAGAAATCCAAGAAAATAAAGTTTTCGCGAATATTTACTTTTTCAATTTATATTTCAGTTCTATCATTAGTTCATAACTTTTCCGAATAGATAAATTGGTCTCTGGTCGGTTCCGCCATCCTGATCAATGAATCAATCGAATTCATTTTCACTAGAATCTTTTAAATTCACAGGTTCCAACGTTCACATCGCTTCTTACTTTATGGTTAGGTCCCAATTCTACAATGGAGCTATTAATTCTTGAGTCGATATTCTTAGTCTTTATTGGCTCGAAGCTCTTTATTTTTTGTTCGATGAGTAGATCCATTAAATGATGAATCCATATTGATGCTTTATTACACAGCTTTTTTATGAGATGACTCATAGACCTTACATATTGGAATTATATATCATCAATATTCTTTTTCTTTCTTTCTCTCATCCTTCCATTTATCCATACCATTTTTTTTTTGTTTCGATTGACAACTTAAAAGCAGATTTTTTTAATGAAAAAAGATTTCAGTCGCTACAACAATATGTATGAACAATATATCATATCTTGGCTAGTTCTTTGGATCAAGATAATACGAAGTGATGAGTTGGTTATTACTTCTATAGTTATTTGTTTATACTATGGGGCTGGTTTTTTATACTAACCCTCAAAAAACCAACGAGTCACACACTAAGCATAGCAATTTTATCAAAAGATTAATTGAATTTTTATTCAACCCTATAGAATTACAATTTTTCATTTTTTTATTGAACAAAAAAGAAAAAGAAGAAACGAATTTATCAGTTTTTGTTCCATCGCTGGATAGAATGGAAATGCAAATAAAGGTTTATTACTCCCCATCTATAAATATCCAAACTTTGATGCCTAATACCCCATGGATCGTTCGAACTATATAGGAACAATAATCAATTTTAGCTCRAATGGTTTGTAGTGGAACCCTACTCTCTCAGATCCATTCAACACACGCAATTTCTTTTCCGTCAATATGTTCTGCAATTTGCACTTGAATTCCTTTTGTATCTGCTTGTTCAGTTAATTCTATAGCCTTTTCATTGCTTTGCGAAAAGAAACTCTATTTTTTAATTGGCCAGCTATAAATTCTGCAAGAATATTAGGGTTTCCATAAGGCTTTTCAATTCGTGTGATAGCAATGTTAAGTTTTCTATTTACAGAATTAAATTCTTTTTGTAAATTCATCTGTAATTCTTCGATTCCTCGGGGTCGGCTTTCAATTAATATTTTTGGAAATCCCATATAGATTATGATTTGGATCAGGTCGATTCTTTTTTGAATCTCTATATGTGCAATTCCCTCGACGCCAGAAGATGTTTTCATATTTTTTTGTACATAATTCTTGATATAATTTCTTATTTTTTGATCTTCTTGCAGACCTTCAGAATAATTTTTAGGATGTGCGAACCAAAGGGAATGTACCAAGTCTGAAACCAATTGGATTTATTTTTTGTCTCATGTTCCCCCATTACTATATATATCATAATACGACATAGTTGTATGTTTTTTTTTGCATTTTGGTTTTTGTGACCATCTAATAGAGTCGRTATCTATATATTCATCTAAGGATATATCTTTTATTACAATAGTTATATGGCAGGTAGGTTTTTGTGTCGGATAACTACGCCCTCGACCTCGAGGTTTTAATCTCTTAACGGTAGTACCCTCATTGACTTCAGCTTTACTAATGACTAAATTTGTTTCATTCGAACCCATATTGAAACTAGCATTTGTTGTCGCAGAATAAACTAATTTAAAAATGGGATAACATGCTCGATAACGCATGAGTTCTAATATAATAAGTGTTTCTTCGTAGGACTGTCCACGAATTTTGATCAATTACTCTTCGCGCTTTGTGAGCAGACATAGATATATGTTGACCTAAAGCGTATACTTCTGTTGTTCTCTTATTTAACATAAAGTTTGCCTCCTACTAATTAATGATAAATATCTATATATTATAGATATTATTAACGTTTCTTTAATGACGAGATCTATTATCGCTTTTTGCATGTCCTCGAAAATTTCAAGTAGGGCCAAATTCTGTCAATTTGTGGCCTACCATACGATCTGTTATATAAATAGGTAAATGTTCCTTTCCATTATGGATAACAATAGTATGGCCCACCATTGTGGGTATAATGGTAGATGCTCGGGACCAGGTTATTATTATTTCTTTTTCTGCTTTTGTGTTAACTTTATTTATTTATTTTTAATAAATTATTTGCTACAAAAAGATTTTTTTAGTGAACGTGTCACAGCTTCTTCCTATTTTTTTTTGTAAAGACGAAGAAAGAAATTCTATTTTCCCTCATATTTACTACGGCAACGAAGAATCAAATTATCACTATATTTATTCTTTTTTCTACTTCTTTTTCCAAGTGCAGGATAACCTTAAGGGGTTGTGGGTTTTTTTCTACCAATTGGGGGCCTTCCTTCACTACCCCCCATGTGGATGGTCTACATGGTTCATAACTACTCCTCTTACTAGCCAACGCTTAGATCAGTCTCTACCCAAACTTTTCTGGTTCACCCCAACATTCCCACTTGTCTGATTGTTGTTAAGCAGTTTTTGGATATCAAACGGACCTCCCTAGAAGGTGATTTTAATGTGGTCGATTTCCCTTCTTTTGCAATCAGTTTCGCTACAGCACCCGCTRCTCTAGCTAATTGTCCACCCTTTCCAAGTGTGATTTCTATGTTATGTATGGTCGTGCCTAAGGGCATATCGATTGAAGTAGATTCTTCTTTTTTATCAATCAAAACCCCTTCCCAAACTATACAAGCTTCTTCCAAAGCATACGGCTTTCTGGATGTAGATGGTGATATCTATACAGATGGTTGTTATATATATGGTATAATGAAGTATGACATGGGTGGATATATAGGAATCAAAATCTACCGAATCACTCATATTATGATCTTCTACATTATAGGTCTTCCCGTTCCATCATCTAGCTTATGTTCTTCATGTAGCATTCAGACCGAATAACTCTATGAAATTACGTTGATACTTCCACATATTATGGGTAACGTAGAAGACAGCTCTCTATTTTTTCCCCAAAAATCTTTAGAATTACTACTACTTAGCTTTCAATTCGCCTTTGACCATCAAATGAAATGTGAATAATCTGTCCTCTTCTCTTTGAAAGAAGGGGAGCTTCCGGTTCTTTCGGTGCTTGAAACAATTTTGTCTTCTCCATAAGAGTCAATAATTTTATATGAGGAACTATTGAACTCAATCACTTGCTGTCCTTACTTTTCAGTTTTCTGTTGAGGTCTATCCTGTAGAGGTACTCAAATTGGATCAGTGATCGATTTCTAGGTTTCGTYGTAAACCTAATTGGTTACTTCCAATTACGTAAATCAATCATTCAAACCGCACTCAAAGGTAAGGAATTTCCCATTTTTATAGGAACTTTTGTACCAGAAACAATGGTATCTCCAATTATAGCCCCCCTGGGATGTAAAATATATCTCTTTTCACCATCCTTATAGTATTTGAGACAAATGTATGCATTTTGATTCGGGTCGTATTCTATGATAATCGGATCCTGGTTATCACCTAAGGTAATTAATATGTGATTATCTGATTAAATGATTACGTGATAGCATGATAAATTGATACATTTGATCATGCTGGTATGTGAAAATTATGTGCATATTGTGATTATGTGTATGAGAATATGTACATATGTGGAAGTATATATATATATATATATATATATACATGGTATATGTGCTTGAAATGGGTGTGTATATATTTATATAATCATATATGCATGGTGTATGTATGCATGCATGTGGGTATGTGAGTTAGCCGTCTTTCCTGTTTTGGAAAATATAAAAAGGGAGGTTGAGCCTCCATATTTTCTCTTCTTGCTTTTGTTAAGGTTGTGTGATTTAAAAGAGAAGAGAGGTTGACYRRATTATTTCMTTGTCTGGAGATTCAAGTTGATTTCAAGTATTTGATTTCAAAAGCTTGTTAAGGTGAGTAATTTCTAAACTCTTTTGCATAAAACTTTTACTGGTTTTATATGAATCTTGTTTATTATTGGAATGAAATCAAAGGATTTTGCTTAAGGGTTTTATCTGGTCAAAGGTTGGACGATG